TTCAACAATTTCCCTTTTATTTGTACTTGGCCGAAATTGAAATTAATAATATTCTCTTACTAATAAATGGAAAGTGCTATTATTGAAAGATTTTGAATGTTTTAGTTTTATTAGGTTTATCTTAAAAAAAAAATTATGAAAACAATCTCTTTAGAAAAAATAACACGGCATAAAATCATTGCCAATTCCATCTCCTATACTTTGACCGGCATCCGGTGATTCTCACAGGTTCTTTTAATTCGTTTATGTTGAAAGTTTTGTATGGATTATACACCACAAATTTCTTCTGATTTCACTACTAATTTCATCTCATTTTTGTATGGATTATACAAAACAAGATAAATTAGATATGTATAGTCATACATAAAGTAAACTAATAAAAACCCAATAAATTAATGTTTTTTCCTAAAATTAATTTATATCGAATGCCTAATGAATTCATGGATGAACAATAATTTTATGCAACTAAGAAAATAATTATCTATTTTAGTAGCAATAAAACTTTATGTCCCAAAAGCGATGCTTTCGTGAAGTTGGTTATTTTTTATAACCGAAGAGAAAAATACTTTTTTTATAACCAAAGAGAAAAATATTTTTTTTAACGAAATCGTTCGCGATGCTTTCGTGAAGTTGGTTATTTTTTATAACCAAAGAGAAATGCATGTTAATTTCCATCTATATGTATTTTTAACGTTTTGTTCAGTGCCATCCATTTTATCATCTCGTAAGAGAACGATTTTGATTAGAGATTTACATCAGTCTTGGCTACTTATTATGTATATTGTAGAAATATGTATTTTATGATCAGGATCTTATTTCTTACAAGTTTGATCAATGTAAAGAAACCAGCAAATTACAAACTTGATCGGTATAAATGTATAATGCGTTTGATTAAAATCTAATTAAGTTTTTTTTTTGAACAAAAATATATGTTGAATATAATTTAGTTTTGTGTCATTATTAATGTTCTATGACATCTCTTTTTGGTTATTGTTAATATCTACTCTTGGCTATCCAGAATATCATCCATGGCACTTTAGATTGTTTTAGCAAATTTTTAAAATCTCTAAACAATATAATACTATTAGTTTTAGTTTCAGAACATCTTTAAGTTGTCAGAAACTTGGATTCACGTATATGCAGCATAGCTGTGGAATCTATATAGATGTAAACTACGTGAAACTTTTATGATACTTACAACGAATCGAAGAATTAAAAATTTCTATGTTTCTATGCAGTTTAATTCACTGTTTAAGTCGTCAATAAAGTATAAACCATCTTTCTTTTCAATTTGAACTCTGACGTAATTCATCTGAGTACAAAATAAATTATTAGTTGTTGTTTTTCCTCTCCAATATATTCGAATTTGTAATTACTAGCTGTTGTTTTTATTTATTTCTACTGATTTTAAAGTTCACTTAAATTATAACAATGATGATAAAAAATGTAATTTTATTATTTTAGAATTATTCAAAATATTGATTTTTTTTACTTTTGTAGAAGTTCCTAAAATCATGTATTGTGTAAAGAATTTTGAAATTTTTTAGACAGTGTATATTTTATAGATAGGTTGCGTCTTTTTCAAAAAATCGTTTTTATGGTTATTAATACTACGGTCGCGTCATTTAAAAAAACTGTTTTATGGTTATTACTGTCACTTAAGGGTTGCGGCTTTTTGAAAAAAACTATTTTATGATTATTACTGAAAACTATTTTGTGGTTATTAATGCATTTTAGAGTTATGTCTTTTCGAACAATTTTGTTTTATGATTATTAATGGATCATAGGATTGCGTCTTTTCTGAAAAAATTGGTATATGTA